AATTAATGTTATAACTACTTTATGCTTCTCTGATACTGTGATCAGTGTCTGACAATAATGGTTACTCGGGTATTCTTCCGGGAAACCTGGACTGATCAACACATCAAAATTACCCGATAGTTTCTTCAGATGACACGGTACAACTGGGGAGAAAGCAATTGGGCAGTAAAATATAATAATACTTCAATATTGTAAAATGATATACCGGTAACACTAGTTTTATAATACATACCAGTTGTCTGAGGTGCCTCTGTGGGATTACTGGCTTTTATGATTGTACTATATGTTGCATTGAATCCAGTATTAACCCAGCTGCCATCACTGTGGAAGTTGATGACCACTTGATTCGAAGTTGATGTCCATATTTCACTGGTAGTTCCAATCTGGTTACACAGCCGCTCGCCAGAACTCTCTGGGTAATTTATCAGCTGTAAAAAGTAGATTAATGTATTCAATTATATTCTTTCACCTACCAGAAAATATGCAGGCCCTATACAAAAGTAATCATACATGAGTATTAAGTGTAATAATAATAATAATAATAATAATAATAATAATTTATAAGTTCAAATATCACTAAACCGAAGTAAAAACAATCAAAGGGGCTGTGCGTGTTTAGATGGCAAAATGGTGAGTTTGATCTTAAAAATAGCAACTGAAGATAATGTGTATAGGGAGGGAGTTCAAAGTATGGGAACTGAAAACATAAATCACCGGGGATAATAATGCTAAGCGCATAGGGTCTCAATAATTATGCGCTTAATATAAGTCGACAATAATTATTATGTATAAAATGTTAGTAGAAGAATTTTATACTTTATTCGTGAATTAATGAACAGCCAGTGCAAGCTATAGATGTATATGAACGTTCTACTACCAAGTACGTACTCCAGTGGGAGAGGGGGGGGGGGAAGAAAGAACAATTTTGATTAATTGCCTTGCCCAAAACCCATGAAAATTGTAGTGTAGTACTTCAACCACAGATGTTACGGTCGAAAGCTCAGATTGCAACCGCTGCACCAATTACCCCCTTACTCAATAATCAATGATGATTGAATTAAAATATCTTAACGACACGCCAAAATACCTCTACGTAATCGTGGCTGCATTCAGGATCTAGCTCCAGTTGTAAGGTGTGAAATATTATTATTATGACACGGTCCGGAGAAGTAACAATGGTGTACTTGCAATCAATGTTATTTCTGTATAGCATTGGAAAACCTGGACTGCTGAACGACCCAGAACTCGCTGTTAGGATGGTGTGAACGCATTCTACCATCAACGAAAAAATATAAAGATGACAAATCTACATAGGCTTATACACACACAAACTTACATGTACATATATATATATATATATATATATACATATACATATACATATACATATACATATACATATACATATACATATACATATACATATACATATACATATACATATACATATACATATACATATACATATACATATACATATACACAT